CCTTCACCTTCTTCCAAAACTCCAGGAGCAGGGGCAGATGCCAGGAGCTTATGGGGTGTTCTGGAGCAAGGAAAGCAGTGGTGTGTCTGAGTCAGGAGTAACTTGTGAAGATCATGGGAGCAAAGGGCTTTCTGTGTCTGGGCACAGGGATCCGTGAAGTATCATGGCTGCCAGGTTCCTGCTCAGCATCTTCCTCCTCTGGATATCTGAGTCATGTCGACTGATAAACTTATTTTGTGAGCCTCCTAAACACAGCTGTGCACCCTGGGGAGAACACTAAACCTTGAACATTCACTGGAGAGTGCATACTTTACATGGTAATTAAAGAAAGCAAAGCTGTGTTTTACAACTCTGAGAAATTTTGCTAGAACCCTGTGTGGGGCTGGACTAACTCCCAAGGACACTCTGCCAGCCCGGGGTGACGATGAGGATGGCGGTCATGACAGCAGGTCCCCATCTGACTGTCAGGTATCGGCTGCCAGAGTGGGTTACATGGGTTATCCCTACGCGGTAGATAATAATCCTGATCCCAAGTTAGTTAAAAAGCCACAGTCAGGGATGAGTGACTTTCTCAGAGTCACCAGGCTGGGAAAGAGTGCCCTGGGATTTCATTCACGCGGTCTCACTCTCAACCTTTGCGCCTTCCTGCCTGCCGATGAGGAATGGCATGTCTGAGAGGTTAAGTAACTTGCTGCAAGTGCATAGCCAGCCGGAGCGGGGGACTGTGCTGAAATACCAGTCTTCTGACGGCCAGTCGAGGCTCTGCCAGCCTGCGCCGTGCTACCTCTACCCCCTCAGTATTCCCCGGGTCCCTGAGGTGTCAGAGCGGTGGCTCCCCAGCCCCAGCCCAGGGCCAAACAGATTGAGGAAGAGCCTCCTGGGGAAATGAAAGTACAGAATCTTGGTCATGCCACCAAGCCTTGCATCCCAGGAGGCGAGATCTAGGAGTCCATGTCTTGCTGTGTGGTGGGGGCTGAGAACTCCGATCCAGATACTCACACGGTGGGTCGTGGTTTGCAGCCAGGATGTCTTCTGTGTCCCCTTCCTGACTTGCATCTCTGCAGAGTTGAGTGTGCCTCCTTGTGTAAGCTGAGGAAGGTCACTGCCACACCCTGTGTAGATGCTCACACTTGCCCACCCCCCTTGCTGGATGTCCTCATCTATTTGCGGGACTAAGGCATGCTGGACAGGATATAGCTATACATAAGATGCCATGTGTTCACATAGAAAGTTACCTTTTCTTCCCTGCGGAGATGATGAGACATCTTTTAATTTTTTTTTTTAATTTTTGAAGTCAGGTTGATTAGTAGCATTATATAGGTTTCAGGTGCACAGCATTCTAGACTGACCTGTGACTATGCTGTGTTATGCTCCCCCGAAAGTCTAGTTTCCATTCACTACCATAGGATCGACCCCTTTACCCCAGTGTGTCCACCTTGCATCTCCCTTCTCCTCTGGTAGTCATCATTCTGTTGTCAGAATCTAAGGATTTTTGTTTTGTTTGTTCCTTTGTTGGGTTTCTTTACCTTCCACGTGTGAGTGAAATCATCTGCTATTTGTTTTCATTGGTCTGACTTACTTCATCAGCATGATCCCCTCTAGGTCCACGCATGTTGTCACCATGGCAAGGTTTCTTCTTTTTTAAATAGCTGAGTGATATTTTATTGTGTGTATACCACATTTTTTTTTTTACTCACACCAGGGACTGCAGGAGATCTTCTAGACTGTGGGATTGGATCGCTATTAAACCAGTCCCATTTCCTTGCAAAGTCCTCATGGAAACAGATGACATGGGCTTGGAAGGAAGGCAACCAGAATCCAGGCCGCATGGGCTGCAGGGAAGACACCTGGAGTTGGGAGCTCAGCCTGATAGTGCCCTGACCAGCTGAGACCTTCAGCTCAGGGACTCTTGACTGAGCTTCTGTAGCCAGTCCCCCTGTGCTAGCCAGATAGACAGGCCAGGCCTTCTCTTTCCTCAAGGACTCCTCAGTCTGTAAGAAAGACCCAAAAAGAAGGGTTAATGCAGAGGTTACATGTGAAGAGGGAGTCATTCAGTCAAGGGCGCCAGAATCCAGACTGGGATGTCACAGGCCATGTCTATGGGACCTCCAGCCAGTTACCCTCTGTGGTCTTCCTTCCAGTAAAGTAGGATGGTAATATACACAGTAATTGTCATCTGCAGTGGTATGTCACTTTCATAGAGTGAGCACTGACAAATAGTTGAGTGTTGATTCAATAACAAAGAGCAGAAATACTGCTGAGGAAAAGCTTCCCAGAGAAGGAGATAACCGAGATTTGTTTTGAAGAACAAATAAGATTTAGCCAGAATGTACAACATGAGGATGATCGCTACCACCACTGTGGGATATATAGGAAGGTTGTTACGAGAATAAATCCTAGGAGTTCTCATCAGAAGAGAAAATTTCCCTTTTTTTCCTTCTTTGTTTTCTTTTATTGTGTCTCCTTGAGTAGATGTTAGCTGAATCTATTGTGGTAACCGCTTCACAATATGAGTAAATCAAATCATCGTGCTATATACCTTAAACTTAGACTGTGATGGATGTCAGTTATTTCTCAGTAAAACAGGAAAAATACATAAAATGTTTAGCCAGGAGAAGAGGGTCATTTCAGGTGGCAGGGACTGCCAAGCCCAGGATGGAGGTGTTTGTGGTGGAGGAGGGAAACTGCAGGCAAGTCATTCATCACCAAGGCATGCAGCTTAGGTGGTGGGGAGCCACAGGCTGGAGAGTTGGGTCCTACTGAGCATTGTGAACTTTGTGCCATACCTGGTGGCACCCACTGCAAGGTGAGAGTCAAACAAATGGCACAAAAGAGCCTCTGCTTTGTATGTGTTCTAGAGAGAGACACTGAACTCTAGCTGTGTGTTGAGCAACCTGTGGTTTCTTCTGCTGCTGCGGAATTATTTTCAGATATTGCCCTCACTTCCCCCTCAGCTAGCTTTGGAGTTTCAGAAGATGATTGTCTCTGGTACTGGAGCACTGGGGGCATGTCGGCTTCATGACAGTGTCTTGTCTGCCGTGTCCTGCAGTCTCCTGGAGGATGAAAGGGAATCATCCAGCAAATCCTAATCAGATTTCCCAGGCAGGCATCTGCCCAGCCCGATTTAGATTATCATTCATTATCCTCAGCTCAGAGAACTTGTGATGGTGGCAAGATTAGCTCACACTTTGCATGTGCCTTGGGAGTTTACACAGCAGCAAGCCTGTTTGTCAGCTAATGCTCCGAAGTTTCCAGCCTCCGCAGGGACCACACTTCCAGCTCTATTTCATGTTTTATTCAAATGTAGCAGAAGGGAGTTACAAAGCTGATGGCAAGCTGGAAGCTTCTAGGGTTGGGAAGCTAGGTTGGGGCCCCTCCCAGTCCTGCCCTGTGACGGTCTCATTCCTGGAATGCAGCCCAGATTTTTCATTTCTGAGGCAGGACTTTGAGAGAGCCCCGTTTGCAGAGCAGAAGCGCAGTCCCCTGTAGATTGTGCTTGTCATCCGGCCTATCCCCCAGCTGATGGAGGGAAGGTCCCTAGAGCAGACTCTTTGCATCACTCCCTCCCCAGAAACCCACAGGGTTCTCGATGATTACAGAATGAAGTTTAAACTCACTAGACAGTGTTTCTGGCTCTTCTGTTCTAGATCCAGGCCACACCCCCTTCACATGCACTGTCCAGACTAAGACGTCCCACATGGGTGCTGCTTCCTCCTCTTCCCCTGCTTCTGACTGCGGGGAGCTCCCAGTCGTGGCTGCCCCGTGTTGTCATGGAGCCTTCTCACTTCTGCTCTTGGCACCCCTGTTTCTTACTCTGGTTTGGGTCTTGCTCTGAGTCGTCGCTGAGACTGACCCTTTACGCAGGAGATTTGAGCTTAGGACCTTGAGGTCGCCGTTCCTCCCCTGCCCTTCGCCCTGTGCCCAGCCTAAGACCTGACACATGTGTCGGATTCGAGTCTCTTTCAGACCAAGCCTGGCCAAGACCTCCACCTGGTCACACATTCTCTCTGGTCTTGTGATGAGGGCCAGGTCGGTGAGCAGCTCATTCATGGCTTTTTTGGGTGTGTTTTTCCATTTCCCCAATGCCTGCACTCTGGGGCTTCTATTTTGATACTGTGCTCATCAGAGTGTGGGAAGAAGGAAAGCTCAGGAGGGGGAAGTGAGGCCTCCGGCTGCCCTGACCAGAATATCCTGGAGCCACTGGCTCCTCTGGGTTTCTTTCAGCCAAACTGTGGGGAACTTGATCAGAGGCGGAAGGGTCCATGGGGTGGCCAAGAACATGGTGCTAGGCCTTGTGGGGCTGACTGTAGTTGCCGACAGACTAGGTAGCAGGGTCTTTGGGAAATAAAGCCCTCAAGCTTCTGGCTTCAGTCAGGGGCTGAATCAGGACCTGAAGCAGTTCTGCTGTCTCCAACTCTTGCCTCCGAGCTTCCATCCGTCTCTGCTGGGGGCGTGTGGGGCAGACCGTTTGTTGCAATGCCCTGCAGGCCAAGCTGCTACTGGGAGGAAATTTTGGCTGTGAAAGTGGTTTAGAGAAACAGGTGTCATGCAAAGGTGAAGGGACCCCCTATTCCCTCAAGACAGGAGAGACTCCCCAGGCTCCAGGCTGCCCCAGCAGTGCGGAGAGGGAACAGGAGGACCCCAGCACACCTGCCAGCCCATGAGCCTGTAATTCACGCTCTGTGACAACTTAAATGTGTAAGTTAACTAATTGGTGGCATTATGTCCTATTAACGGAGAGCAAACGGCTGTGCCTGTGCTGAGACAAACTCGGAGCTTAGATCTGACTCTCCCATGGCAATTCAGAGCCGGCCTTTATTTTTAGATCAAATGGGGGATAGGGGACTGATGTCTTCTTGTTTCCGCCCCCACACTGGATGTGGATAGGAAACTATTCCTTCAATTTTTTTTTTTTTTAACTCCTTGTGGGTGTGGTTCTTAGCTCACAGGGAGGAGATTCTGTCTTTTCAGTACAGTGCTAATTTTGCAACTAAACCTGTTTTTAATATTGGAGGCAAGATACTAGCAGGTTCTAAAGAGCCTGCATGGCCTTAGAAACGCTCCCTCTTTAGTTCACTTACTAGCCAGCTTGGAAATAGAAGTCCCTGCCCAGCACGCCACCGCTGCTGTGTGCAGCTGCTCTTCCCGGTGGGCACTGTGCCCATCCCTGGGGATGCAGAGGGACAGTTATTACTTACTAAGGATACTTAGCTTCTACGTGTGCCAGGCACTTTTCTAGGCCCAAGGCATGTAGTGGTTCTCTCTCTCTCTCTCTCTCTCTCTCTCTCTCTCTCTCTCACCCCCCTCACCCCCTTCTGGGAGAGGGGAATAGGGAACTATCGAATTGTGTCAGATGCTACAAAGACCTTGGGCTGCTTGCTGAGGCAGCCGCTGGAGGAGGGGTAGTGTAGGAGGGTTCTTGGGAAGCTGGCAGAGGGTGGGGGACAAAAGGAGCCAGCTGAAGGTGCAGGGCTGGTCTGAGGGGGTCCCCAGCTCTGCTCTTGGAGGATGGCGAGCTGCTTGAGCCGGTACCTGATTCTGTATTTCCCCAAACTTGGGCTTTTGAATTTGATTCCTGTTCTGCTATTCAAGCCAAGCCCCTGGGTGTCCCTGAGCCTCAGTTTCCTCAAATGTGACCTGTGCATAATGGGGCTTTCCTGGCAGGAAGTTGTAGGGACCATTTCAATCAAGTGCCGGCTACGGACCAGACATCACTGATGTGAGGGTTCCTGTCTTCATCCTGAAGCCTCACTCCTGGGAATAGAATTGAAAGAGTTGAGAGCATATTAGCCTTGTTCACAGAGTGCAGCTTATCCTGTGCCATGCACAGGGCGCTGAGAAGTAAGTAGTCAATATTCCTGTTCATGTGCATCTCATGGTTTCCCCCTGCAGTATGGCAATAAATGATGGGACAAATAGAGGAGCAGATCTCTGGGTGTTTTGGGGAAACAGCTGGTAGGTCTGGAAGCCTCTGCGGGAGGTGTCCCTGACTGTAAGTGGGGCAATGAGATGGGCTGACCTTTCCAGGCCTGGGGCGGAAATAAACACAGAGCTGGATGTCTCCAAAGTTGTCCCTCTCTCTGCTCACCAACAGGGGTATGGAAGTGATTTCTGGAAGGGAGCCAGGGTGCCGGAGCCTGTCCCTCTTGACCTGTGGTCTCTGAGCACCTTGCCGTTCTCAGCCTGACGCCACATCTTTTCTTACCTGTCCTGGCTTCCCTGGTTTGCTTCTTTAAAGGCCTGTTTGGAAAGCTTTTAGGATTGATGTCTCCCCCAGCCCTGTCCGTCCCTGGCCCTCTCCATCAGAGACCTCCACTCCCTCCTGCTCCTCATTTCTCTCCACTGGCTGACACCAAAGACTTTGCTTCTTGAAAAAGATTCTTCAAAGCGAATGCTTGGGGCTCCCCTGCTTCTTATCTTTGAGTCCAACAGCATCTTTGCGGGAAGTTTTTTTTTTTTTTCTAATGTGCGTTAATGTGGAAGGGAGTAAGCAACTTTATCTTCCAAGCTCGCCATTTTCATTCCCCTCCTCCCCCAGCTGCTCCACTTCTGCCCTCCTCTATCTCTTTCAGCCACTTATCCTCAATACTTTTTGTCTGTTCTTCTCTAGCTTCCTTTCCACCCCGCCCCCTGGACTCTCAGCTTCTGCCTAGCGCCTTCCTCCCTGGTTTTCTCTCATCCTTACTTTCTCCCCAGTCTGCTGCCCAGAGCTGTTCTCCCTGCACAGGGGCCTCCAGACCCCTCCGCGCTCTGGGGTGCCTTTGAAGATGCCTTTGCTCACGTGGGCACGGCCACCGGCACGCCTGTGCCACAGGACACCTGCTTTGCCCATGGCTGGAGTTGTTCTGATTGCGCAGCAAGTCGGTGTTGTCTTTGACTGCCCACCTGGTGGATTTTCGTGGGGAGGAATTTCTGCAGGTGCCCGGAGGACACCACCACTTTGTTATTGAAGGACAGGCGTTGCTGTGTGGGGCTCCTGCTCTGAGCGCTCTGAACCCAGCCCAGTGGGAAGCCATTCCTTCCTCTAGCCCCTGGGCCCGGGCTCCTTTCTCTGTTACTGCCCCGGCCTGTGAGTGCTGCTGGAACCTGTCTGGCAGGCGCGGATGTGATCTGAACTTGTTCAAAGGGCAAGCAAAGTGAACGGGGTTGTGCTCTCTGTTGTCAGACCCCGCCAGTGGCACCCACCCAGCCCCCTCACCTCCACTGCCTGTGGGAATGTCCTCAGGGGACTTGGCATCCTTTGGAATGGGCACATTGCCTCAACCATTGTTGCATTTGATTAACCAGATAGCATTTATTAGCTCCAAGCGCAGTCTGTTTGCATCATTTTTCTTTTCTGTCCATGGCAGACTCTGCCTGTCCTGTGTCTCTGGCTAATTTGTGTTGATGAGCACATCATTTTGGGCTCTTACCTTTTCTGAAGGAGTCATCTTTCAGAAGACTTAACGAATGATGGGTTCTTATAGTCCATGTTAATTATGGATAATAAAATAGACCTAATAAGAGAAGTAATTATATATATAGTTAATAACGTAAAGTAATTATATAACATATAGAGCCACCTTACCTAATGTATAGTAACATCATGTATACTTCCATATTATATATGTAACACACATATACCCAATTGTCTATAAAATATATATATGCATGTGTACCTGTAGAAACACATGCACACACACACACCTGCACATACACACTCAGTGAATTGTGGTGAGGGAAATCTTTGTAATCACCGGAAGCCTGTCAGGATGGGTAACCTTTTTTTTTTTTTTTTGGTGGGGGGACCCTCGCTGGTGGCCGGGGAATGAACCGGCGCTGCAGAGGCTGCGGGCAGCCTGGCAACCCAGCGCTCAACTGCTGCGTGACCAGGGGAGGCCCAGGATGGGTAACCTTTTGATGAAAACATTCCAAGTTCATTTTTCTGGAGTCTGACTGGCCCTGGAGAAGGGCAGGCTCCTTCCCAGCTTGAGGGTGTGCTGCTTGATGTCACTGTCCACTTACTGTGTCCACTGCCAAGGCCGGAGCGGGGATCCTTCCTGCCTCCAGAAGTTCAGAGAGGCCTGAGGAGAGACCTCACTGTGAGCTTGTTCAAGATGACCTTGATGGCAAATACCTGAGAGAATTGAGGACATTCCAGTCATTTGTGTGATTAAGGGACAGGATCTTCCTCCCGTGAAGACAAGAAAAACATCGTTGTGGGATTTGCTGGGTGCTTTTCATTTTAGGAGCTTATAAAGCTGGATGTGTTGGTGATTTTAATGGTTGTTGCCTTAGATTAATTCAGTCATTAGGAAGGTTGGGTAAAAGTTTAATGTGGTGGGCATTCCCCTGGGGTGGATACCTCTTTCTAGAACATTAGAGTTAACATCAATATAGTCAAAAAGATGTGTGCAGCACAAGCCTCTGCTGTGAATAATTTTGAAGATACATTTTAATTTTATTGTGAGTTTTGAACCAATTGTGCGTTTTCCCCAAGTGAGTCACTACTTATTGCTTGTCATGCATTCGTGTGTGTGTGTGTGTGTGTGTGTGTGTATTGCAGTATCTACATTCATAAGTCTGAATTGTACTCATCCAAATGGAAGGGGACATGGTTGGTGGGGCTGGAGGGAAGGGTGACTTAGAAAAACACCATGAGTTAGCTCTAATTGTTCTTCCACTTTAAAGATAAAGAAACTAAGGTCAAGAAAAGTTAAGTGACTTGTCCAAGCTCACGCAGTTAGTGAATAGTGAAACTGGTTTGAACTACTGCACTACACTGGCCAACTGTCATACTTATGGGAATAACCCAGCAGTTCCCGTCAGTGGCTAGACCAGACTACTGTGCTTTGCCCGGCACGACCGTACTCTGACCCTAAGCAGCTTACACTGGAATTACAGACATCAGCTATTCCACTACAAAATGTTACTTTTAATTTACTTGTACATCATGTTCAGTTCTCGCCATACCAAATTTCAGACTAAGGCCTCAATTTTCCCCTGCCTGGCCCACCTTTGAGTGCTGTCATTGTTACTGCTGCCCCATTAGCCACATGTTTCCCCTGCCTGTGACTTCTGTATGTCTTGGCCACCCATCTATCAGCACCACGTACACCGTCCTGGTTTCCAATGTCATCGTTTCGGTAAGCCTTCTCCACACCTGCTGTGGGTATGATGTTGCTTTCTTCATGACTCTCATCCCTATAGTAATCTGTCATTTTTCTCCCTTGTGACATCTAGAACCTTTCTTTTCGTAATCTTACAATCAAATTGTAGACATGTGCAGAATGAGTAGAATTTAAGTGTGAATGAAAGGGTAGGGTTGCCTGTCATGCTTCAGGGACCGCAGGTTTACAAAGGTGGAGGTGGCCTTGTCCCTTGGATGGTGTCATTCTTCTGGTGATGCCCTCCCTGTGGGGCATACAGCGCCCATTCTGTGGACATGTGCTGTCTCTGGCATTCGTTAGGGTACACCCAGGATGGCAAAGCCTTTCCTGCTGCCAAGCCAGGGTAGCAGCTCTTCCTGTTTCATACCAGTCCCTGAGTGCTTGGACCTACCCTTGCAGCTCCTTTGGGCTGGAATCTGTGGTCAATGCAAATGTCCCCTTTTGGAGTGGCTGCTGTCGCCCACCTTCAGTTACCTGATGCGGATGACAGTCTGATGTGAGAGGACGCAGGGGACAGTGCCCATGTGTTGGGACTGCCAACCACAGCAGACAGCTGGGACGCCGGGCACAGGAGAACAACAGATTTGGTTGTGGAGTTGGAAATTAGGGTGTGTGTGAAAAATAATTAGGAATCATAGCCTCAGGAAGAGAAGCCTGCAGGGAGACCTAGTAATTGTCTTGAAGCAGATGAAAGCCAATTATACCGCCGAGTTAGGTCAGCTTGTCTCTTCCCCGTGGAGAGCAGAGAAGTATGTTTAAACTTGAAGAGGAAGGTTTTGGCTAAATATGGAACTGTTACCTGCTGGAGCGCGCTGTCGTCACAGAGCTCCATCCAAGTAGGAGAGAGTGTTCCTCTTTCTAGAGGGAAAACTTTGGTAGAAACAGAGCTGGCTTAAGTGCCACTAAAGTTGCTTTTTCTCTCCCACATATGGTCATTGGAATGAGCCGTGAATGGTGCCCCTGTGTGTAGCCGAGAGTCCAGTCTTCGCCCGGCCATGTCCTGACTGTCCTGAGTGGCATGACCTGATGATCAGGTTAGACCCAGCAGCTCCTGATTCTCTTAGTTTAGGGTCCGATCTAGCTGTGCCTGTTGCCAACTGTATAAATTAGACCCAGTTGCTTATCTTCTCTCAGACTCTGTCCTCTTTATTGTAATAATAATAATAATAATAATAATAATAATAATAATAGCATATACCTTGTGGCATTATGAAGATGATTAAATGGTAACAGATCCCTAACTCTTGATCCCACATGCAATTCAAAGTAAAACAATGTTAACTGCAAAAGAAGTGGAAGAAAGACTGATACAGATCTGAGGCTTCCCAGGATTCTAGTCAGTAGCTTACTTGGGTTTAGTTGTTTTTTTTTTTTTTTTAAAGATTTATTTATGCATATAAGAACTGGGGCACAGGAAGAGATGTGGGGGATGAGAGGATTCACCAGAGACAGAGTGGGGAACAGAACAGGCAGATTGACCTAAAGACACTGCTGAGGGGAGGAGCGTGCGAGTCAAGAGAGTCTGCCTTGCCATGTGGGTAGCTCCCTGGCTGGCCGGGGATCGAACTTGTGCTGCAGGGGCTGTAGCACGTAACACCTTGTGCCACCAGGGAGATCCCAGTTGTTTTTTTTTTTTTTTTAATAACAGTTTCACAAAAATAATTTTGTTGCCCTTAGTACCTGCTCATTCTGGATAATCCAGCCCTGGTGATGAGCTGGAGAAGAAATTGCGTTACACCTCCCATCTCTCTTTTAACACGCTGCTTCCGAGTGTTTGATCAAGCAGCAGTTCAGTTGCCAACAGCAGAAGCTGACATGTTGATTTAAGAAAGCTTAAGAAAAAGGTGATTTTTCAAGAATGATGGCAGCGCCTCCAAGAATTGGCAGGGTGGGCGTGGCCAGCAGCAAGAACAGGGGTCCTGCTGGAGGACGGAGCAAGTACAATGCTGCCACCGTGACTGCTGAATTTGCTCTTTGGTGTTTTCTGAGCCAGTGGAGACTCCAAAAGAGGTCAGGAGCTGGACTCAGACCTGTGCCTACCAGGACTCAGGACAAAGGAGGCATTTGGTCCCATCTCCCAGAGGGTGAGAGGCGGGCATCAGTGGGAACTCTATCCCCACTGACGCTTCACACTCGTGGGAGCTGGGTGCTGGAAGGAAGGGAGTTAGTGGATAGATGCACGGAGCTCCTCTGTGCTTGCTTCTGCCAGCGCCTGCTTGCCACTGATGTGGAAGTCGTTCATGAACTTGGCTAGTTTGCCGTCTGCATCCTTAAGCTCTCCGTGTGTTTTCATGCTGCCTCTGCAGGGGCCTCTAGGCTCCCTGAGGGCAGGGGCCCCAGCTTATCAGCTCTTTACCCCTCAGTGAGCCATTCCGTCCAGTCCGGAGACCTGGTGGTTGGTTGCCTCATTCTTCGTTGGATTCTGAAGAAGTTCGCCCTCGTCAGCATGAACTGCTAGAACCAGGTGTCCCTGTGGTAAGGAGTGTATCAGACGCTGGGAGTGTGTAGTCAAGACTCGAAACTTCTCCTAGGCCTCTAGCAATCAGCAAATACATCTCTGTGATTACGGGCTGAGTTCCAGCATTGTGTACTGTAGGCCTGGCTCTCGGGTGGAAGGTTGAAAATAAACTCATCCCCTCAATTGCTTTATTAAATAATGCACAGATGACAGTGCATGAAATATTGATGCTCAGAGAGCCAGCTCATCCCCCGGCGGGGGAGAGGGGCCTCTGGGTAATTGGTTTCTCTACATGGCAAGTGAGAGAGCTTAGAAATAGCAGTACTATTTCCCTCACCCTCTCAAGCCCTGTCTATTAATGGAGGGATGGACCCAAGCGAATCTTGTTTTTCAAGCTCTCATTATCCTGCCACCACTGAGGCAGCAAAATGAACAGAAGGGCACAGTAAAGTATTGGCGTTTTCACATAAGTCAACCTTCAGGATTGGGCACTTCGTATGGGTTAAATTTGAGGCCCCTGTGGATCACCTTTTTAAGAAATTGGTGAAGTATTATTACTATCCATCTGGAAAATTTAGAAATGTGGTTTGGTGATGAAGACCCAGGCTGTATCACAGTAAGGAGTTAACTGTAATCACTGTTAAATGCCTTGAAAACCCTTTTCTATAGACATGAAGTGTGAAAACCTGCAATGCCAAGGCCAAGGCCTCAAGCCATTCACTGTCCAGGGAGGCACATCGTCCCCGGTGATTTACTATATAAGCCGCGCACAGCGCACAGAGCAGCTGCGCTGTTGCTCTTAATGGGATTTTAAGTCACAGTAACCTTTATAATTGGAGTCACAGGACGTGTTTCCTAGGAAGGTACAGTGGCTGTCATGTAACCCTCCCAGATATGAATAGCAGCTCAAACTCGAGCAGTTTCTCTTTGTAGAATTTGTTTGCCGGTGAGTTCAGCAGGTCAAGGAACACTGTGCAATGCCTAAGTGCCAGTATAGGGTTTTCTGCTCTTAATTGTTTTTACTTTTTGTCATCTGTAATTTTTGGCCCCAACAGCTATTTTGGCTCCAGAATAAGTCAAAACTGGTTGTGAATACAGATAGCACTACGTCGCTTAAAACTGATGAGTGGATTTTTGTTCATCGGCAAACATTTGCAGAGCTCCTATTGGGAGCGGGATTGTGACCCTGCACATTGCATAGGGTCATGATGTCGCCTGCCCTTTCACACTGTGGTTTCAATAGTGTTCTCTCCCAGTTAAATTCAGCAAACATTTATTGAGTGTCTGCCCTGTAGCAGGCTTCATGGAAGTGAGCAGGGACACAGAGATGAGTAAGGTTCACTGTCTGCCCCGGAGAAGCTCTCCACCAGGGAGAGGGATAAGCAGATGGTAACTAGGTCATCATGTGACTTCTCAGGCATGCAGAATGGAACATGGATCATAGGAGGTTGTCCAGAGAGCAGAATTGGCTCCCAGATGGGCCTGTCCAGGAGACGAGCAGACTGCTGGGGCACATAGGTCCGAGGAGAACCTGTGTGCTTTCCCTGCTCATATTTGGGTTCCACTAGAGATTCTCTCTCTTCACTCCACAGGACTCTCTGCACCTTAGACCCTAGAACACATGCTCACAGTCCTGTGGTGGTGATGGTTGCATGCCTGATCCCCGTGTGGGGAGTGTTGGAAATTATGGTTGGTTGTAAGGGTTTTGTAGTCACCCAAAGGAGGGTCTGAATCACAATTTATTACTGTGTGCTTTTAGGGGAGTTGCACAGTCTCTCTAAGCTAGTTTTCCAGTCTTTAAAATGGTAATAGTGATAACATCTGTATAACCACTTAAAATACAATCGACCCCGACTCTTAGGACCTCATCTAATGCTAATCACCTCCCTAAAGACCCTGTTGCCAAATGCCATCACATTGAGTGTTAGGGCTTCAGGACATGAATTTGGAAGGGGATATGGTACAGTCCCTGGCAGCACTGACTTCATCTGGTTTACAGAAAGTCTAATCTAGTGCCTGGCACGTGGTATGTATTGTGTATGTATGAACTGCTGGAGTTGCATGGGCAGATCACTTTCCATACAGAATTATAAATTTCCTAAAGGCCAGGACTGTATTTTTATTTTTCCTCTCTTAAGTGATTGGGATAATGGGAACACCAGTGAAAGGAGAGAAAGAATGAGAACCTGTTGGAACCAGAGATTCCAATCTTGACTTGGCCATGTGCGGTCAAGCAACTGTGTGCCCCAAGACAGTGATCCAGCCTTTCTGAGCCTCATTTTTTTTTGATGGGTGAGACGGGAGAAGTAACTCTTACACCCTAGACTTCTGGCGAGGCTTGAACAACACAGGCTATATGAAAGCACCTGCATTTTCTGATACATCACGGGCCTTCTCTAAATGTTGCCTGAATTCTCACACTATCCATGAAGCATCCCTGAGATTGTAACTCCCAGATCACCTCACCTGCCTTGGGTTTGTAACTCCCAGATCACCTCACCTCTACTGTTTTTTTTGGTGGGAACTTCCAGGCCCACTGGGAGTGTGCCTGGGTACATAGCCATTTGATGCAATTCTTGACAGGGATTTAAAAAGTAATAAAGATAAACTTAATTTGGTACAGAAGTAATGACTTAGATCTAATATTCACATAGAAAAGTGGGGTATTTTGAATGTTCTTGGTCCCATTAACAGAATTTAATCTAGTGGTGAAAATTTATGGGGCAGCAAGCAATCTGTTTTGCCTGATGGTGTTCAAAAGTGCAAATGAATACTTCACATGACCTCCCTGCTTTTCAGAGTTTAACAGCACAGGAACATTTATATTTCAAACAAGGTAGTCCTCGTTCTAGTGTGTCTCTGGGCAAACCTCAGACATCTCTTTGGGTCAAGGTAGAGAAGTGGGTGAATTGTCACATTTCACTTGGGGTGGCCACCATGCTGGTTGGTGCATCTTAATTCTGAAAGCTTGTCAAGTCTTGGTGCCTACCAGCCTAGTCTTTAGGAACCTAGGTCTTGGAGGCAGATGGAACTGGCTGTGAGCTCTTCTAGCTATGTGACCTTGGGTTAGTTTACATCTTAGAACCCAACTTTCTATTTCTACAAATTGGGGGCATGATGGCCTCCATCAGTGCTGTTATGAGGATTCCATGAGATGCGTAACATCTCATAACACAGAATCCTGCACGCATATCCATGTCCAGGAAATGTTGTCCATCATTATCATGCTAACTACCAGATTATTGCATTACCTGATAAGTATCCTACTATTGTATCAGTCGGTAATGCAGTAGTTAATGTCGTAGGAAAGTTTTGGAGTCTGAAGCAAAATGCTGCATCATCTGAAAAAATCCTTTTATGAAGTACTTAGGGAGTCTGCCTTACAAGTCTTTGAACCCTGAAGGGAATATTAGGGAAACAGACTTACCTTAAATTTCTTTTTATCTTTGGCCTTAGTTTTTGCTTTCCCCTGATGGCCATTCCTGAACTCCTGCACAAATCACAAGAAAGTACGTCACATGGCAGTAGGCCTGCCATGTCCCTCCCATTCACTTCTGTATTTTCAGCTCCTGAACCAGTGCCTGGCACCTGGTAGGTGTTGCAGACATATTTATTGTTGAATATAGCCATAGCCTTCTAATCTTTAGATTATACATCCATCTGGCTCCCTCTTGGACCAAAAGGACTCATCTTACTTCTCATTTCTCTCAAGGAGTGTACAAGCCAGTGGTGGTTTTGGTATACTGGTTCCTTTTCTCTTTCATGGCACTCAGCTTGGTAGAGGAGATGGAGCACTGGGCCGGAGTAAGGGACCAGGATTGTAGCTTCAGCTTCACTGCTAGCTTGCTTAGGAACCTTGGGTGGGTCATCTTTCACTCTCTGGACCTCAGCTCTTCAACAGTATCAGGAGGAAATTGGCTTGTCTGATTTCTGGATCACCCTTCAGTGCTGTCTCTGGAGGTTCCTTAAGGACAACACCCACTTACCTGCTTCTTTCTTAGGCCTCCATTTTCCAGCCAGGCTCACTTGCTTCTTATACCCCATATAGAAATGAATCCAGGCCCGCGGGATATTTTAAGCACTAGCTCCCCCTAACACACCCTGTATATCTAAGTCACAGTATCTAAGTTTCAGAACTGTTGACTTTCCGGGCAGTGAATTCTTTGCTGTTAGGAGCTATCCTGTAGATTACAAGATGTTGACCTCTGTCCCTCACCTCTGCCCGCTGGTTTTCAGTAGCATGCCCTCCTCCATCCATGCCTGCTATGACAGGGACATTGCCTCAGACATTGTCATGAGTCTCTGAAATGGAGAAGAGGGCAAATAATCCCTGATGTTAAGTACATATTCTTCTGTAGTCTTGTTTCAGATGGCATTGTCAGAAGACAAAGGATTTTCTCAAGAGACTAGAGCAGATGGGAATAGTATATTGGTCCTAGTCTCTCGCCCCCAGGGATAAGGGGGACAAAAGAAAACAACTTGAAAGTAGAACTAAAGCTCACCCAAATATTGTGTCAGGGCCTGATTCACATTGAGATGATTCCATGTGTAATATATCACCGAAGATGAAAATTGCGAGTGACAACTCTTAGATCTTACCCAGAATATGACAGCTATTGGATCTTATTCTTGCATCATGGAAACTGGGTAGCCGTGGCACTGAATACTTGATAGAAAAGATAGTTGCTAAAAATCTTCCATCTTGCTCACAGTTTGGATGGAGGCACATCCTAAAGAGATGGAATACAAAACAGTTTGAGAAAACATTTTCAGTGGTGTCAGGATATTATAAACCACATGTTTATTGTAAAGTTGTTGGTGATATTTTCGTCAGAAATACAAGACAGGAGCTCATAATTGGGTGGGTGACATAAGAGAAAAACTCGTGGAAACCTAAATCAAAGTATAAATCAAGACTAAATGTGTAGATGAAAGTAATGATGCTGTTAAGCAGGAGCCATAATTGCCAATGGAACAGAAGGAAGTAGGAGTGTGAGCTCAGGTCATGGTGGGGGTGGGGGAGAGTTTAGTGGCTCTGAGGAAAGCGGGACATGCTGAACATACTTTGTCTGAAGCATCAGGAGGCTGATTTTGATCCTAATTAGCTGTATCTGAAGTCTGGTGAAACAGTATACACTTGACATCCAGTGTCAACGTGAAGGTATTTATTCCTGCGATTTAGACCTTTCAAAACAGAGGTGATTCCATTTTAAAAGGCTCTTATTTTCTGGCCTCACATTACTCCTGAAGTTGATATCCTTGAGTTCTCCTCCCAACTCAAAACCCACCCACTCCCTCTGAGAATATTGTATCTCCCTCAACAAAAAGAAGAAAGCCCTGTGGGAAGCTGCTGACTGCCAGGCTTGCTTTCTGAGACCAGTCCCTCACCCTGGGCCATATGTGATTGGCTCAAGGAGGACATCTGATTCCGCCTGGACCTGACTCCAGACTGACAATTTTTATTTAGAGCTCAGGGGCCCATCATTCTCTTGGTGGGGCTGGCATCGCTGGGCCTGCTCACTGGGAGTTGGTCAGCCATCTTTCTCTGTGAAGCCTGGAGAAGCCACTACAGATGTGAGTGACTTCCCTTCTCTGAATGCGATCTGGGGTGTGCCTGTCCCTGATCTCCTGAGGACCAGGTCCTCACAGGGCCCTCTGTGAAGGATGGGGGGTTTACCTAGGGTCTTGTCATAGCCCACCTGGCCTCTCATCTCTGCCCCTGCCTGGTCACAGTGCCTCTAGGACTCCTGTCCTGCTATGGCACAGCCAACGCCCCTCCAGGCTGCCCTTGTGCAAATCCCACCACCTCCCTCCAGTGAGAGGGAGACAAAGTGTCATCCCTGGGAGCAGCTTTCTGTGGGCTGGGGTATCGAGGAGAGTCTGCTCACCCCAGTCACACTGAGCCTCCATAGCAATGACAGTTTAGTGCGTGAACTTTCCAGATATGGCTGACTTGAACCCACAAGGACTGGCTATACCCTGACACTCTGGCTCCTCACCATGCACCCTGTGATGTTCTCTAGAGACCAGGGATCTTTGTTTCCCAGGAGCTCTCTGCGTCGTAGCAACAGAACCTGACCCAAGTACCACAGGAGGGCTGTTTCAGAATCGGGCTGCGAGTGGCTGGAGTGGCCAGCCCTGGCTGGCCATGGGGATGGCTCAGGGAGCACTGAGGACTGGGCAGCAGGAACCTGAGACAAATGCTGTCCACTGGGTCCTCTCCTTCACATGACAGAGCCACAGGAAGGTCACGGGGGTGGAAGGAACCAGATTGGGGATAGAAAACTGGCACCCCAGTCACTCTGTCTTTTTAGTGGGTAGTTGGAGTCATGTCTGCTTATCCTGTGCACAAGCAGGAGAGATGATCCTGTGTGTGGAAAACAGGGTGCTGTTAGTAAGGGGAGATTGAAAGATTGGAGGTAAACATCCACACTGGACCCCTCACATCACAAAAATGCAGGTAAAATTTGGGATACAGGTTTGACACCTTCGGAAGCGCTCTCGTGAACCACCTTTCATCTAGGAGTTTCTGTGCATTCATGTATTTCAGATGTTAGTGCCCAGGGAATGGGGTTTCTGTGGGCTGTGATGTTGGGAGGATAATTGCAGACCAAGCAGTGATGAGAAACCTCTGCAGAGAGGGGAGCTGTGTGGAAGGTGTCCTCATCTACCACTTAGGAATACCTGCTAGAAGAAGAGGCCCAGCTCAGGAAATTCCAGTGAGAGCAGTTCCTCATTACCCCCTGCTGCGGCGTCACCTCTGGGACCCGACGGCACTAAGACTGATGTTCAGCGCAGTAAGACTGTAAGGGAAAAAAGCAGCATAAAACCTATTCAGTGGGGGAAATTCTCCAGGGCAGAAGATTACTAAATTAATTACACAGATGCAAAAATTTAAAGGAAGAATAATTAGACAACCTGTTAAAACTAAAATAAAAATAAAAGTTATGTTGTTTCTCATAACTGCCTTTAAACTAAGGAAAATGAACTCTTCTGGAACATTCCTATATTGTTGGTCTTTAGAGTCTTTGCTTGGAGAAGAAATTTCATGAAGAAGAGATAGGTTCTTACAGTGACATGGACCCAACACAAGTGCCTTCAGAACCAGACAGGTGATCAATGCCGGCAAGACGGAAAGGAGGGGCCTCCCTGGTGGCACAAGGGGTTAAGATGCAACCTATGAAGCTATCCACAACCACTGTAGCACGAGTTCGATCCCTGGCCAGGAAGGTGACCCACGTGGTGCAGCAGACCTCTCCTGACTCGCCCGCTGCTCGCTCCCCTCAGCAGTGTATTTCAGTCAGTCCACCTGTTCTGGTCCCCACTCTGTCTCGGTGAATCCTCTCACCCCCACAACTCTGGCCTGTACCCCAATTCTTGTATGTATAAATAAATCTTTTTTAAAAAAAGGAAGGAAAGGAATTGAGGTGAAACTGAGTGTAAAGGGAGAAGGAAATGATAGTGGAAAGGACGCAGCCATGTAGGGATGCATGCAAGTGTGGCCTGATCTTCCAGTTAAAATAACCCAGAAGTACATATGGGATTTTTAGATGCTAGTCTCTAATTGGTCATTGCTAGCAACTGAATGAAGATTGTGCAAGCACCGTGTAGGCTGATCACAGCACGCCCGCAGGGTGGGGGGCCTGCGCCCGCTCCTGGTGGCCGCTGGTCCCAGGTGGCTCTGGATCCTGGTCTGTCTGGATTCTTGCTCTATCTCTTCCAGCTCTAGCTGTTTCAGCAGGTTCTGTGTCCTTTCTTTACAAGTTCCCATCATCTTGGGGACACTCTGGGTGAGGCTCATGGGCCTGTGTAGAGATTGGCGGCCCCTCCTCCTCAGTACCTGAGATGCCACACGCAGATCTCAGTGAGGGTCTGTGCTTGACTAATAGATGACTCATTAGCTGTCAATTACTTCAGAGTGAACTCTGTTCTGCTGATTTCTTTTTTGAAGTCTAAGGGGAGAGGGATTGATAAATAGATGTGCTCTCATAAGGAATTAGCCCCTAAGGGGTAAATGAGCAAACTCTTGGCAAGGGATGACTTGAGGTGGAATGATGCCCCTGGAAGCATCCCCAGCAGATGCCCACTGAGCACACCAGACAGTGTCCAGCACGTCACTCCTCTCCTGCAGCCACAGGCCTGCCCCTCTGCTGGGGATACGCAGGCACTTCTGCTTCCTCTTAAAAGTATTCCTGATGTCCCTAAACTCATGGCTGTGGGAATTTGTTTTTTTCAAAAAAGATTTATTTATTTATTTATTTATACAAGCACTGGGTACAGTCAGAGCACGGGAGGGTGAGAGAATTCGCCAGAGCAGGGAGCAGAACAGGCAGACTGACGAAGTACACTGCTGAGGGGAGCAGCGGGCACAGCAGGAGAGGTCTGCTGTGCCATGTGGGACCCTTGCCCAGTGGCCCGGGATCGAATCAGCGCTGCAGAGACTGTGGGCAGCTTCGCAACCCAGAGTTCAACCACTGCGCCACCAGGGGAGGCCCAATGGCTGTGGGAATTTCTACCCCCACTGATGAAGCTTTGTCTTGCTCTGCTGGTTAATATCATTGCCCCAAACAGTAGTGAACTCTTTGAAATGTTGTCAGCTTGCTATTTAAAAATGACTTTAAAATCAGTGAGCTGTTTCTTTAATCCAAGTTCAAAAAGTCCTGGATTTAAACTGTGCTCCCCATGAGGGAAATGTCTTAGGAGGGAGCAAGGGGGCCCAGCGGGTCCGCTTTTGTGGCTGGGACTTTGAATTGGAATTAAGGCTCTTGCCCTTGTGGATTGGACAGCGCTCGTGAAAAGACCGGGCGGATTTTTTGTTGGTCAGAGGAAGGAACACAACAGGGAGATTTGTTGCTCATTTAAAAAACGATTGGGCATGAAATGAAAACTGTTTGGATTACACAGAAACACATCTTCTCATTAGCTTTTCAGGATCACAAAAGGCCTGATGGCTGGTTTAGCCCCAGCCAGTGGGATCCAGTGCCAAAAAAATCTCTGTTACAGACTTGCATAGGGAAGCAGTGTTTAGGAGAAAGGAAAATGTCCTTTATTTCATCATTGTCCTTCTCTCGCTCACTCCGTCCCATCTGTTTATGGAGCATCAGGTTTGTGGCCAGCATGACCTCACCTAGTGGCGAGGTAAGCCATCCTGTCACCTTTTCTGAGTTCAGGGTGTGGGGAAGTGGGCTGCAGGCTGGCAGAGTGCCACCGGCGGGGGTTGCTGCAGAGAGCAGGGCTTGGCCGGCAGTAGGGCAGTAGAGGTGACTCATTGGAGGTCTCCTGAAAGTAGACAATAGGGGCAAGATGATTTCAAGGCTGTGCTTTGGCTTAACAATGGCCTGATCGAGAAACCTGAATGACTTTTCGAAGACAGATCCAGTTTCAACTATTACAACTATGAGGACGACTTAAGGTGAAGCATGTGAGAGAGTTGAAACAAACATTTACTGAGGAGTCCCCTAGATCTTTGTTCAACATTCGACACATTGTCTTACCCAAACCTCCTAACTGCCATGTGGGAGAGATGCTACCACTCTCATTGGCAGCTTAGAGAGTCTGCATAATTTGCCCTAAATCACATAGCATCTAAGGAGCTGAGCACAGGTGTGCAACTAGATCTGTATAGAGCTCAAAGTTCATGTTTCTTGGCTCTTTCTGTATAATTCATATCACACATTGGTGATTTTCTTCTGTGAGCAAAGATGCTATCCAGGAAGCCTGACACCCAGGTTGTCTTGGCCTGTTCACATTCAACTCAGCAACTTGAGCAATGGCTAGTCAGGCCCCCCATGTTGAAGCAGAGCCCCAGGCCTGTCAGGGCAAGGTGATATAGTCATGAAAGTGAGGACATGTCCAGTGCAAGGCAGCCTGCAGTGGCTGGCACACCTCAGTTCGACCTCATCCCATTGCTCTCTCCCTCAAGACCCATTACTCTATGGATACACTTCAGAGAACTGGTCATTCTAGAGCTAAGTCTTGGTCCATCCCAGCCAGGTGTCATTGGAAGCCTCAGGTGTCCCACACTCCAGGGTCTATTCTGCCTTCGGATTTTTACAGTTCTTCTCCTGGGAGGTTTCTCTACTGAGCTTCACAACATTGGCTTCTTGTCAGACTATGGGTTGAGTGTCACCTCTTCTGAGAGGTCTTCTCTGACCTCTTCATCCAATGTGACCTCCTAGAGCTTTCTGTGGCATTCCTCTTTTAAAATTAGTTGTGCAACTCTTATTACTATATTTCTGTATTCTTCTATATTTCTTCTTCTCTCCTTCTTGCCTTCTTTTCTTCCCTTCTCTTCCAGCCACTTCCCCTTCCACTGTATGTCATCCCTCTACTAGAATGTCAGTTCCTTATGAGAAAGGGCTTCTGTCTGACTCATTGCTGCATACACAATGCTTAAAATAGTACTTGGCAAGTGAAAGGAGTTTCATAAATGTTTGCTGAAATAATGTCTTAAAGTCTTTTGTATATTAAAGGTCGATGGTCTGGAGGATGGGCTAGGGATTCTTCTACCTCTGCATCTGTAAGACCTAGAAATCCCAGGTTCAATGATCCATCCAGAAATGTCCCTCAAAGAGTCTATTCAGCATCAATTTGCCCTGTCTGTTGGAGCAGACACCTGTCAAAGGTCTCAGGGTTCAGAAATGCTGAGCAGCATTTGGTTCCTGGAGTCAAGAGCAGGGTAAAGTAGCCATTAAGCCTATGGATCTGGAGCCATCTGTGTACTCATTTGGCTGCTGTCATCGAACCCCATGATATTCCAGACATGGTTTAGGTGAGGAGCACATAGTAAGGAGGAGGGCTTCTTTGGTCTTCTAGGACTTGACATCTGCTTTATTGAGACAGACTTGAGTCACATCCTAGCCTGACCACTTACTAGTTGCGTGATCTTTGGCAAATTCTAAGTTTGCTCATGTCAAGAGGAGATGATACACGTCTCATAAAGTAATTGTGAGAATGGAATCATTCTTTATATTGGACCCTGCAATCTACACACTCAAGGAATGAAAGCATGCCAGGTATCTGAG